TCGGTTTGTTGGTCTTTCTACTGCTCTGGCAAATGCAGGGTTCGTATTCTAACTTCTGTGTCTCTTTGAATTTGTAGGCTCTTTTCTGTGTGTATTTTCTTTTGCTTGTCTTTTCGAATTAACCATGAAACATGCAACTGATTGTCCGAGCAATCGAGCTGGTAGACAGTTTTCTTTACTGTGCTAAGGATACCTTATTACTGTGTGTCATTTATAACGTAGTCTTGTCTACTAAAATATATGTGTAAGATGGTGTATCTCACTCAGTTTTAACGGTAGCTGTTTTCCTCAATTTCACTTCCGATATGCGTAGTCAGTTCAATTTATCCTGTAAAGCTCAATGTGCTGAAATTTCTGGTTGTAGCATTAGTTGTTTAACATTTTGACGCGTTGCCATGTTCATTCAGTGATTTGGCTGACTGGTTGGGTGTTGGGGAGATTGGACTTTTCAATTTTAAACCTAGTGTCAGACCTGTACCAATTGAAGTTCATATTCAGGTACTTGATTATCAAAATTTCAATATGTTGAGCTGTTTTATTTTTATTATTTTCGGTGGGTGGATATGCGAGGAAACCCTCCAAGCAGGAGACTTCTAGACGTAACATTGTTTTTTCTTTCAGGGATATCCTGGAAAGTATTATTGCCCAAGGATGAATAGCATGAACAAGCCAGCATATGCAGCCATATGTACCCACTCACCTACAAAACCTGTTCTTATCTTTGTTTCATCGCGAAGACAGACAAGGCTTACCACGCTGGATCTTATTCAGGCATGATTTATTATCAAACTCAGACACCATATCATCTTTCGACTGTATAACTCTAATATCTATAATCTTTTGTATCCTTTTCCTACGAAATAAAGTTTGCGGCCTCAGACGAGCATCCGCGGCAATTTCTGAGTGTGTCAGAGGAAGACTTGCAGATGGTCCTATCTCAGATCACTGACCAGAACCTCCGACATACTTTGCAATTTGGCATTGGGTTGCATCATGCAGGTTTGAATGACCAAGATAGATCTGTAGTGGAAGAGCTTTTCACGAACAACAAGATTCAGGCACTTTCCTCCACTATACTCTCCCTCCTTACTTTTTACATCCATGATTAAGCGTTTACATTTCATGCTTTCATGTTGATGGTTGATTCCATGCTTCCGTTTCAGGTTTTGGTCTCAACAAGTACCTTGGCATGGGGAGTGAACCTACCAGCTCACTTAGTTATTATAAAGGTAGAAGCGGATCCTCTGCAATGACATTGTTTCCATTACACATATGCTGTTTGGAGTCACTCTCAGATTCTTCTTTCTAACGCATTGTCTTTTCCCTGTACTGTTGCCGTGGGCAATGTTTTCTAATGCCTCAGGGAACAGAATATTTCGACGGAAAAACCAAAAGATATGTTGACTTTCCTCTTACAGAGATCTTGCAAATGATGGGGCGTGCAGGGCGTCCACAGTTCGATCAACATGGGAAAGCCGTTATTCTTGTACATGAACCTAAGAAAAGTTTCTACAAAAAGGTCAACCGCAAGTTAGATTCTCGGGTTATCCTAACATCCTATGCATGAATTTACCTCAATTATCATCTTTCCTCTGAATGCAGTTCTTGTACGAACCATTCCCAGTAGAAAGTAGCCTGAAAGAGAGGTTGCACGACCACTTCAATGCCGAAATAGTCTCTGGGACAATCGGCAACAAAGAAGACGCTGTGCACTATCTTACATGGACGTATTTGTTTCGTAGACTGGTAACTATTCCTCACATTCCATCAAAAAGCGATACAGCTTGAGAATTTGATACTGGTTCCTATGAGAAATTGTGCTAAGTTCATACTCAGTTTTCAATCACTGACTAGTAAACTGTTTACCAATCTTGACACAAGCAGCCAGATTATTTTCCCTATAAGAGTTCTTCATTACTGCAAGTTCATTATCTATCCGTGAATCAATGTCTTATGAACTGAGTGTCTACTTAACAGATGGCTAATCCTGCTTACTATGGGCTAGAAGGTACTCAAGATGAATCAGTGTGTTCCTACTTATCAAGGTATATACGAAAATTATTCTATAAAGAATGTTTCTCTAATAAGAAGTTAAGAACTAGCATAACATAAGGGTACGTGGGTGGATTTTATTGTAGATTGGTGCAAAACACGTTTGATGATCTTGAAGACAGTGGATGCCTCAAAGTAACAGAAGATAATGTAGAGCCTATGATGCTGGGTACAATAGCATCACAGTATTACCTTAGCTACATGACCGTGTCTATGTTTGGTTCTAATATAGGCCCCGACACATCTCTCGAAGTAAGAAGTTGAACCTATCAACTCTAATTCGAAAATTAACATGGATATATCCATGCATGAGATTTTGATTGTCTTCTGTCTTTTTTACCACAACCCCCCTTAGGCATTTTTGCATGTTTTGGCTGGAGCGTCTGAGTATGATGAACTTCCTGTGCGGCACAATGAGGTTTGTTACTTTGTTCACACTTTTGTACTTGGAAGTGATAAGCTGTCTACACTTTTCGCTCTTTATGTTCTTTATGTCCTCTTTTTCTCCTTAGGAAAATTACAACAAAACACTGTCAGAGAAAGTTCGGTATCGAGTGGATAATAACCATCTAGATGATCCTCATACGAAGGCAAATCTGCTCTTCCAGGTAAACTACTTTTCACATTCCTCAAACTTTGAAGGATAAAAAAACAATAATCAAAGTTCATGCTTAACTAACAAAGTTGATGATTGTGAACAGGCTCATTTCTCTCAGCTACCACTTCCAATCAGTGATTACAACACTGATCTAAAGTCAGTCTTGGACCAAAGCATTCGAATCCTCCAGGCCATGATTGATATCTGTGCAAACAGTGGATGGCTTACAAGCTCACTGACCTGCATGCGTCTCTTGCAAATGGTCATGCAGGTACTCTCTTGAAAGATTACTACTCTTATCTGAAGCAAAACCAATACTAATCGCGTTTGAAAAACTCTTTTATTTAATCCATTTCTCTCTTTTGTTGCTAGGGTATGTGGTCGGATCAAGATTCATCCTTATGGATGATTCCATGCATGAACGATGATCTTCTAGGATCTCTAACCGCAAGAGGAATCCACACGCTGCATCAGCTATTAGAACTTCCAAAGGAAACTCTAAAAACTGTAACCGGAAACTTCCCTGCTTCCAAATTATCTCAGGTACCAAAACCTCTCTAATATTTTCAGTTCATGGACTTGTCTGAATCTTCTCTATACTTCTCTGGTCTTAATTAGGATCTCCAGCGATTCCCGCGTATACAAATGAATGTGGGACTCCAAAAGAAGGATCCTAATGGGCCTTCAACGCTGGAAATCAAACTTGAGAAGATATCAAAGAGGAATATCTCAAGGGCGTTGGCTCCTCGTTTCCCAAAGGTATTTTTCACTAAAATCTTACTTTGAGATGCATAAAAAAAAATACTCATCAAGTTTTTTAACTTTGGGTTACTTATATAGGTGAAAGACGAAGCGTGGTGGTTGGTACTTGGTGATACATCAACTTCTGAACTCTTTGCTGTGAAGAGAGTTTCGTTTACTGGTCGTTTGATCACACGCATGGAGTTACCTCCCAACATAACCTCTCTTCAGGTTCTAATTTTTTTTCGCTTACTAAACTATTCTCTCTTTTAAAGTCTGCAAAAATATTAAACGATGAAATTGTCTTTTATGTTTTGGTCAGGATACTAAACTAATCTTAGTCTCGGATTGTTATTTGGGATTTGAGCAAGAACACTCCATTGAACAACGACCACGACGCTGATGAGCCATCAGATGGTAATGGGGGGGAGTCACTTATTTATAAAGCATTGAACTTTTTAGATGTCGATATTTTTCAAAATTCAGCTTTTTATTAATAGTTAATGTAAAACTAAAAAACATATTAAACATATTACAGTGACAAAATTTTGGACTTAACCACTATCCAAGAGACTAAAATGTGTTTTACACCCATGCAAAATAAATATCTTTTCCAATCAATTTAACATAGGAACAATCTCAGAGCAAAATAACATTTTTTCAAATTAACTTTGATATTTCTATTAAGTAGTGCTTTGTAGGCCTGGGCATTTTACCCGGATCCGAAGACCCGAACCGGAACCGACCCGAAAATACAGGTTCGGGTCCGGGTCCATGTTGAAGTATCTATTGGGTCCTTTTTCTTTGGATCCGCGGGTCTCGGATCGGGTTCGGGTCCTACCCGAGACCCGTTCGGGTACCCGTAGTACCCGCAAATTATTGCATATATAAGGTATATTTAGGTGTTTGGGTATATTTTTGGTATTTCGGGTAGTTTTAAAATTTTCAGATTCGGGTTTTCGGGTATAATTTTAGGTTTCGGGTAAAATTTTCGATTTTCAGAAAATATAATTCGGGTACTTGGGTAAAACTTCGGGTATTTTTGGGTTTTCGGGTCTGATTTTTTATAATTTTTGGATATTTTCGGGTATTTCGACGGTTCTTCGGATAATTTTCGGGTTTTCGGGTCTACTTTGGTTATTCGGGTCCTAAATACCCGAACCGACTCGGATCCGAAATATACCCGAAAATTATGGGTATTTTACGGGTATTGAAATTATAGACCCGAACCGACCCGAATCCGACAAGACCCGACCCGGAACCGACCCGAAAAGTTATAGGTACCTATATGGGTCCAAATTTCCAGGACCCGAAGAATCCGGACCCGACAAGACCCGAGGACCCGGATGCCCAGGCCTAGTGCTTTGATACTTGTGTGAAGTTACTCATAATTAACAACTTTGATTTTTTTTAACAACAAATTAACAACTTTGATTTTTTTTAACAACAAATTAACAACTTTGATAAACGAATTGTGTTATATTTCTATTTATTTTGCAATTGCCATACCTCTACAAAAGCGAACGCCATTTATTATTATTATCTTCAACATATAATACATGAGTTACAAAATGATAATACAACCTCACGATTTGATGATATTTCCATTTAATTAAAGCGAGTCTACTTCAAGACTGAATATAAAAAAAAAGTTCATGAAACAGGAGAGTGCGATAGATGAGAAGTGTTAGTCTTCATCACTGTCGTAAACCATGGCCATACGACGATGAGTCGGAGCTTTTCTCGGAGGAGACTCCTCCTCCTCATCTGACTCAATCCCTTTCCTTTTCCGGCCACTACCACCACCGTCTTTACCTCCCCTCATTCCCTGCATTCACCACAACACACAACATTACAATCATTAACAACAAAACATAGAACAACTTTTTTTTAACTTTTGAATACCTCAGCTTCTTCTTCTTCTTCTTCTTCATCTTCTTCTACTTCCTCCTCATACTCATCTTCTGGCTCCTTGACTCTTTTACGTGAACGTGGCCTTTCCTCTTCCTCCTCTTCTTCTTCTTCCTCAGTCTCATACTCTGATTCCTCTCTCTCACTCTCTGAATACTCTTGACGCCTTGTTGGTCTCGCTGAAGTCATTGAAGACCTCCCTGAAAAGCCTTTCTGGCTCTGCTTCAAGAAGAAGATGTTAAATCATTTATTTGGCATTACGCATAGGTAATGAATATGTTTTTGTTTACCTTCTTGGCGTTCATTATCCTTCGTTCTCGTTGCGCTTCAGCTTCAAGATCCTCCTCATAGCCACGGTTTGAGCGGTGTGAACCATACTGGTCTGTCTCTTCATCCTGCTTCCAACAAAACAATTAGTCTTTACTTCTGGAATCTTTGGTTTAGAAAATGGAAAGAACACAAACCTCTTCGAGAGCATCTTCCAAGTATCCAGTGGAAAGTTGTCTCCTCGCAACAGGAAGTGGATACTTGCGCTTAATTTTCTCCCTTGCTTGACTCAGCTTTGTACTAGCCTTGAGGTTTTGGCTTTCCATCTGGTGAATTTGATATTTACAAATGAGGAAAAGTCTACAAACTCAACAATATAATTAGAATTAGATTGTTTGGAGCTCAAGTTAAGAGTGTTACCCTTTCCCTCTTCTCCTTCTCCCTCTCAGGGTCAATGTCAGTGACACAGTTCTTAACTTTGAAGTCCTTCTTTTGCCTCGAGTCAACAAGAGCAGTCAAAAGCCTATGCGAATTTGACGTTAGAGATGATGGAATAAATCTCATTTTCTTCATAATCTTTCCTTGTGATTGAAGGATTCCCTAAAATCAACATCCAATTAAAACATGAGTTTAAATTTATTTTCTGAACAAAATATCACTTTAAAATCTCACTGATTTGAGTTAACACCTTTTCATGTTTGACTAAAAGGTGATTCTGGTCTTGTCTTGCATCTTGTTCAGTTATATCAAGAACTTCGTGTCCTATCATTATCTGTAAGCTTCCATCTGACCACCTTACAAACCGAGCATTACTTTCACTCTGCATAATGAAACATAACGAAACATTAGTATCAATAGGAATAATACATAGCATCATCACAGCTTTGATAGAAGTTAACACTTACATATGTTTTACCATCTCGACCCTTAACAAACCTATGGCGCACAATATTATTTGCTAGACGAATACGCATCTTCCCTCCAGGTTCATCACTCTCAAATGTCTCTTCTTCAACAAATGTCTTGGCATCAAATGGCTTTGGATCAATGCCCATTATATTAGAAACTTTTATCATATTCAGCTGCAAAAAAATATATCAAAAAGAACATAAGGTAATTGGACAAATGTTAACCTCTTTCTTTTGTGCTGGAAAAATGGGGTTTAAAAATATAAAACTGAATAGAATTCTCATGAACAACATGTCAGAGGAGAATATTTTAACAATATAAAGCAAATTATACCTTTTCAGGATCACCAGGAGGAGGACGGAAAGGAATTTCTACTTCCATAGGAGGGCCAACAGGCCTGTCCCTGTGCCTAGATTCAACATGTTCATCTTCTGACTCGTAGCGAGGATCCTCTTCAGGGATTACATCATCAAGTCCCATATCGTCGTCTGGTCTCTGATCCTTCTCAGAGCCCTCTTCATCTTCTACTGGCGACCTCTGAAAACTTACAACATCTCAGTATACATAAGTGTAAAGTCATATGGTTTCTAAGAAGGTAGGAGAAACTCACAGGTTCATCAGGCTCAATGTCATTACGAACATACTCTTCTGCGTCTTCTTCATCATCCGAAGATCCAAATACATTACGGATATTAATGTCTGATTGTGCAACTGGAGCTTCTTCCTTCTCCTCACTAGGTGATCTATGAACCATGACAAAAGTGAATATCAAATACTCTCAAATGACAAGCACGTATTATCAATTACTATATCTCTGTTTCAAAATGATGCATGTTTTAGAATTTTCACTCTACTAATAAAACATATTAAATTTCAGCTATAAATGCATAATTTTCGTAATTATCAATTTCCAATAATTTTAAACCATTAAGAATTCAATAAATGCATTTAAGTTTATAACTAATCAATATAAGATCATAAAAATGCATTGAAAATACAATTAAAAATGTATCTTTTTGAAACAATTTTTTATTTTATTTAACGAAACGGAGGGAATGTATCAAAAGCACAGTACCAAGTTCAAAGGAAGCCACACAAGAGCTAGTAAAAAAAAGGTACCTTTGAATCCTTCTCTGCTCAACCTCTTCATCTTCAGACTCATAACGCCTTTCACCAGACCTCTCTGACCCACTCTCAACAACATCTTGTCTCCTATTCACAGCTACTCTCTCCTCATTTCCTTCTTCTTCTTCTTCGCTTTCCTCCACTGGATCAGCAACATCAACTTCCTGTGAACTTTGCTCCCTCTCACCCTCACTTTCTCCATGGCCAAGTTCTTCTACATCTCTCTGTTCCCCCTCAGATTCAGCTTCTACGTCAACTTCAACCACAGCCTCTTCACCTTCTTCTTCTACAGGCTCCACACCTCCCTCAGCTTCATCCTATTGGTGTTTTAATTAGAAAGTTCATACATTTACATTTTGAATTGGATAATTATATTTATACAAAAAGGCAATAAACCAAACAACAAACACAATGTCACGTGGTTGAAGCTCACGTGATTAGAAAGTTCATGAATCTACACTTGAATTTGGATAATACAGTTTATAGAAAAAGACAAGAAACCAAACAACAACACAATTTCATGTAATAAATTCAGAAAACTAAACATGTTTCAAAGTACTCGTCCTATTGGTATTTTTAATTAGAAAGTTCAGACATTTACACTTGAATCTGATGATTATGTTTATAGAAAAAGACAAGAAACTACTAGTGTGATGAAATCAAAATTAAACATGTTTCAAAGTACTTTGCCTCATCCTATTAGTGTTTTAGTTAGAAAGTTCTGACATTTACACTTTGAATTTGGATAATAAAGTTTACAGAAAAGACAAAAAAAAAAAAACAACAACACCAATGTAATGTAATGGAAACAGACAATGAAACATGTTTCAAAGTAACTTTGCTTCATCCTATTAGTGTCTTTAATTAGAAAGTTCAGACATTTACACTTTGAATTTTGATAACTAAGTTTCTAGAAAAAGACAAAGAAGCCAAACAACAAAACCAGTGTCATGTAATGGAATAAGACACTAAAAAAAATGTTTCAAATTAACTTTGCTTCATCCTAATTAGAAAGTTCAAAGATTTACACTTTGAATTTGATAATCAAGTTAATAGAAAAAAGACAAGAAACTAAACAACAACACCATGTCATGTAATGGAATCATAGAAAGAACATTTTTTTTTAATACGAAACCCTAAGGGAAGGAGGAAGGAAGAGATTACGGAAGGATAGTTGGGGTGAGGATTGGATTCATGTTCGGATTCAATCTCTTCTTCTTCTTCCTCGGAGTTATCTCCGAAGAGATCTTGCATCATCTCTAACCTCTTTACTTCTCCTGCCACCATCTTCGCCTCTCTCTCTATTTGCTCGTGACGGTGATCGCTTCGAGCCTTCGACGGAGGCTTGACTCTATCGCGGCCGAAGGATTTTTCTTTTTCTTTTTTTTTGTTAAGAAAAAGCCCAATAAGATGGGTTTAACAAATTTTAAAGCCCAATGCAAGAATAAGTGTTGATTGTTGGAATTAATTTTTAGTTTTTAGATTTTGGTTTTTGATTTTCAGATTTTAGCTTTGTTTTTTATAAACTTTTTTTTTTAGATTTTGATTTTTTAACCTCAAATTTCACCCTTATAAACCATCTTATCAAAATTTTACACCATGTTAGAAAATTATTTTAGCCTTTGATTTTCATAATTGTCAAAATATTATTTTAAATTAAAATCTTTATTTTTGATATAAAAAATTAATAAACTTTGAATATCACTGGAGTTGTGGTGATTTTAAAACTCAAAAAGTATTTATAAACATACATTTCTCAAGTTGAACTTTTTTTTTTTCTGCCAAGTTGAACTTTAAGTGCAGAATTCTCATTTTACAATGTTTTATAACTCACTAGTAAATAAAGAAATAAAAACATCCATCTCACTCTTGGTTAAACACAAACCAATCTCAACACCACCAATCTCATCCCTCCTATTAGACATCGTGAACGCCGTGTACCGATCAATAGAAACAATCTCATTGTTAACCGGTCTCCCCCACCCAAAATCCGCCTCGTATAGAAACCGAATCAATCTGAGTACCCGGTTTGAGATTCTTAATCCCATCAACATACAACTCGCAAACCGTTTCAATCCCTCTTGAACCCAAATCTCTAACAGAATCCGTTAGAATCTTAACAGCGTTTACAAAACCGTCTTCTCCCATCAACATCTTAGCTTCGTACCCAAAACAACCAATTGGGAACACGCAGTTCCCAAAATAATTATCCGGAACCGGCCGGTTCAACCGGTTTCGAAAATCCGCCGCGTACATAAACGCAACCGGTCTATCCGCGTCGCCTCCACGCGCCTTCACCAAGCAACTCCACAGATACGCGCTGGCGACCACGAACGTCGACAACAAGCGAGTTACCTCACTCTCGGCACGCTCCTTGAGCTTGTCGATGTGCTCCCGAGTTAACTCGAGCGTGAGTCTAACCAAACCGGATCCGGTTTTCGTAACCGGAGGCAGTTCCAGTGTTCTCGGTTCATTTAATTCCAACATCTTCGACTCGAGATCCGCCACGTGGAGGTCAATAACGGTACGATTGATAACCGGAGTTAATTCCTCCGGTAGAGTCCCGGTTAACGGTTCATTTAATTTACATATATGCGCCCATGATTTTATAAACATGGCCGATCCTAACGCGTCTTTAACGGCGTGATGCTCCGTTATCCCGACGGAGAATCCTCCGTTGGGGAAAAACGTGATCTGGAGAGAGAGCAGTGACGCCGAGTCAGACTCGATCGTTAACTCGGGAACCAAGACTCGTAACTCGCTCTAGAGACGTAATCCTTTCCCTGAGACGATGGAGAAATCTGCTTCGCTCTCTGCGATGGTAAGCGAGACGGTGCTGTCGTTGGAGACGGTTATGCGGGGTTTGGGATCGTGTGGGGTCCACCAGGTGAGGTGGCCTGCGAGAGGGAGGTAGTGACGTAGGACGAGGGAGAGTGAGAGGGAGAGTTTGGGAAGGATTGATGTGTGGAAATGCTCCCGAGAAGATTCTGAGTGTGAGAGTTTGTAGAAGAGGACTTGCTGTGTGGGGTGTGATCTTATCCAACGCAAGTCGAAGAAGGTTAGTGGGAGGATTAGCGAGTTGGTTGAGTCAGGGGATGAGTTTGTTGCGGGGCTGACTCGGGTGGTTTTGATGATGTTTAGCGCCATTTTTTTTTTAAACCAGGAGTTGGTGGATTTGAAATGGGGAGAGTATGTGTTTTATAATTCATCTGGAGATTATTTAAAAGATTTTTTTATTTAAATTAATTAACTAGTTGTTATTTTTTTTTTGTTTCGAACTACTCCACTAATGTAGGCAAAGCAAAAAAATATATTTTGAAATACAGATGTTTGGAGTTTACCTATGACTATGATTGTAACATGCGAAACCAGCTAATGCTATGTGAATTATTATCCACTTTAAAATCTATACTGTTATTTGTGAAGTGATTTTTCGTAACGAAACTCTCACGTTAAAAGTTAGACTGGTTAATATAGTTTATACCTTTAATGAATAATTAAAAATTTCAATATATAATTAAACATAAATAAAAAACAAATTTAAATTGATTTTAGATTTATATTTATCTAAAACTATTTAATATTGGGTTATAAAGTCTTTATTAACCTTGAAAAATAATTATATTTGTAAATATATAATTAATTCGAAATTAAAAACGAATTTCATTTATTTGATAATTATCCTTATAATTATCCTTATCTAACCTTTTATATTATGTTATAAATTCTTTATTAACCTTGAAAAATAATTATATTTGTTAATATATATTTAATTATGAAAAAATAAATTTGCAAAGAATATATGTATAGATAATTTATATTATGTTATCCAAAACATTACTAAAGTTAATTTTATTATACTTCTTTTTGTTATGTCTAGAAAACATATTAATTTATTACTAAATATTTTAAATTTATGAGAATTTCACATTTAATTTGTGCAATTATAATTATTTATATGATGATGAAAAATTTTATATATAGAAAGAATATGTTTAGATTATTATTAAGTGTTTTGAGTGTATGCACAATAATTTATTATAATTTACTTAAAATGATTATATATTTGTTTATAGATATTAGTAAAATTATTAAGCCCGCAAGTGCAGGCAAAACACCTAGTGTTATAGTATTAGTCCTACAAATGCTATTTTAAAGAAATCGAGAAGCGGTTTATATAGGACTGACTAAATAGATTTCAGAATCTAGGCAGAACCTAAATTAATTTGATATATTTTATTTATATTAGACATTTGATTTTTAAAGTTTAATTATAAAAACATAGATATACAGATTAAAAGATTTTTTTTTTTGGGATTAATTTGTGTTAATATTATTGCCTTATTTAACAAAATTAAACTAATTTATATCAATTAAAACTGAATTAGACTAACTTTAATCATTTCTGAATAGATTAAACTAATTTGAGATGCATGATTTTCAAAATTTAGTTTTGGTCATGTCCCATTTGAGTCTTAAGTGCCAATTAGATTTGTAAAACACTAAGGGATTGATTGACAAGAATTATAGCTTTATATTTTTTGTCTCCACATGAGTTCGTCAAGGCTTACGCTGCCCATCTCAAACGCTCTGGCAAGGTATTGATGTCGTAGAACCAAGTCACTGTCTGTTTTCTACTTCTAAATTTTAAGACAAGATTGTGTCTTTTTTTTTATGTGTAGATTGAGTTGCCACCGTGGACAGACAGTCAAGACTGGTAAACTCAAGGAGCTTGCTCCTTATGACCCTGACTGGTACTACATCAGAGCTGGTATGTATATTCTTGTCACTTATGTAATGATGGTTGTTTCTTATTGTTCTGAGATTGAAAGTTGTAATCTTTTTTAATCTTGTAAAGCATCGATGGCGAGGAAAGTGTACTTGAGAGGTGGACTTGGAGTTGGTGCGTTCCGTAGAATCTATGGAGGAAGCAAGAGAAACGGAAGCAGACCACCTCATTTCTGTAAGAGCAGTGGTGGTGTTGCTCGTCACATTCTTCAGCAGCTTCAGACCATGAACATTGTTGACCTTGACACCAAAGGGTTAGTTTTTTTAATATTATCATCTTCTCTTATTTGAAGTGATTAAGCACAAAAATTACTATATATGATTTATCTATATTTGTTTTTGAAATGTGTTACTGTTTAATTTGCTACTATTAGGGACATTATGGCTTTTATCTAATTGGTACTTATTGTGATGTTGTTACTAGGGGGAGGAAGATCACATCAAGTGGTCAGAGAGATCTTGACCAAGTCGCTGGAAGGATCGCAGCTGCCGTCTAAATTCTAGATCATCACAATGGCTGATTGTCATTTTTTTTTTTTTAAGATTAGTTATAACAAAAATGAGTTACATATATAATGTCGACCGTTATTGATATAAGTCTCTTTCAACCTTAGTTTATTCTAGAAAATTTCACTGAGATTAGTAGTGTTTTATAATATATGATTTCAATTTTTTTATGTTTTTGAGTTTCCATTGGTGCGTTATATATAGCCAAGCGCTTTTTTCTAACATCTACCTCAATCGTTAAGGACTCCTATGAGTCTCAATTTTGTTTTTGGGAAAAGTTACATCCCTGGAGACTTCAGATTTTGATGTTTTTCCAAAAGCTCAGATTTTAATTTAATTTACACCAAAGTGTGGACTGTGGAGAAATCTTCATTTTTTTTTATTTTTTTTTTGGGGGTTTGCCTAGGGCCACGGTAATAGAGTCTGACGATGAAATTACGAAATAAATCTAGATTTTTTCATAATTGGTAACCTTTCGTATTAAATTCGACGGTTTATCTTCCCAAAAAACACTTGGGCATCAACTCTTAGCCTTTTAGGCGGCATATGCACGCGTACATGTTTTTTCTTTTTGAACCTATTATCATCAGTTTGCTGATGTCGCTTTACGAATAATTACAATGCATTTAGATGAACTGTTTGTAGTATTTGTAGCTATATAAATATAGGTGGTTCTGATGCCAAGAACACGTTAAAGTCAAGAAAAACAAAAAAAAAAGGGTATGAAATTCAAAGCTTCAGTTTTCTTTTCAAAACGGTTCCGGCAAGTTACGATGCCAAGGGCTAAAACATCAGAAAACGGCGTCGTTCGGCAACGACTGTCTCTCAGTGACGTTGGTCTTAAATATCTAGCTATGTCGGCAACGTGCAGAGAAGCATCCGAGGAGGAGGAGGGCTTTGCGACAGCGATATCACTCAATCACGTCCCTCACGGTTAATATCTCTAAAACCCTTTTCTTGATTCTTTTTTATTATGATTCTTGAGTCTCAAGGTAATCTCTAGTTGTAAAGAGTTATTATCATTATGATATTTTCAATAGGAGTTAAAGACGGGAGCGACAAGAAGATTCTTGTAGACATGTTGTTGTGGGCAATGGAGAACAAAGCTCCTGCTAACGTGGTGCTGATCTCTGGTGATGGAGATTACTCCTATGTTCTTCATCGGTTGAGGATGATTGGGTACAATGTTCTTTTAGTACGACCTGAGCATGCATCTCGCTTTCTAATTGCTGCTGCAAATACAATATGGTTGTGGAGGAGCATTGTTGCTGCTGGTGGCTAATGTGAAAACTCTTTCAAGAACCAACGAGATTAGATGTTTTTTTTTTTATCTTGTAACGGTTGTTGTTGTCTTAAGATTAAACCATTTTTCTTAATTTGTATTTGTTGTGTGTAGGCTTCGATAGTAGTCAGTCAAAGCTGCGATCATGTGGGATTTAAAAACCTTGTGGTGTAATATTTGCAAGGTCCATTATGCATCAGCTGGGCATGAAGAACATACATCAGGGAGAATACACAAAAACAAACTTGAAGTAACCATTGGGTTATAATAAGTGAAAGAAATTGCAATTAGTTTTATTTTTATTTTTATTAAATTTCAGAACTGGGTTAGGAGGTCCTTGTCTTGGTAGTTGAATGTATTTTAAATGTATGTTATGAAATTATAAAAAAATTTGTTCAGTAAGGTAGCATTTCGCAAATGCTATAGTTCTTACTGGCTTAGGCGTAAAACTTCAAGATAATTAGTATCAAAATAATCCAACAGATGACCCAAAAAAAAAGAAACAGCTGGGCTGATTGGTAGTTACTAGTTAGTGTTCTTTCTTGTGTTTTGTCTTGGCCAACGGTAGTTGGTAGTCTAATGAGAATATAACGTTAAGAAAGTGACTGAAACCAATTAAAACATTGGTTTAGAGTATTAAATCTAATTATCAAGTTGTAATTAAATTACGAAAGCTCTTCAATAATAATTACTCACTAGGTGATTTTCCCGTGCTCATGCACGGATATAAATATTCATAAAAGTAAAATTTTATAATAATTGATTGATATTTAATTTTAGTTCTGAATAAATTTTATGACTTTGTATATATTATTGTTGGTTTAATTATCTTTTGGATCAATAGTCGGTTTGGTTATCAATTTGGTATATTGGATAATATCTATTTTTCGAGTTCAGCTATAATATTTTTTATTCTAAATATAATAAAACTTTGATTAATTTTCTTATTTTCATTTCGGTTGGTTATTGTCTATGTAAATATATTATAGTTAAATTATGTATAACTTAATATATAGTGTGTTTAAAATGAAATAAATAATAAACTGAAGTGTTTGATTCAAAATTACATAAATGGATATAATGATAATATTTTGAAGTCTCATGCATATATATAAATTATACAAAAGAATTAAATTGTAATTGGTTAATATTTTTTTTCTTATTTAATATGCTTTGGGTTAACCTCTAATTTATATGTATAAAATTAAATAGATTATTGTTATTATTATTATTATTATTATTATTATTATTATTATTATTATTATTATTATTATTATTATTATTATTATTATTATTATTATTATTATTATTATCACTATTATTATTATTATTATAACATTATATGTTCTTATTGTAGTTAGATGTTTAATTTTGGATATAAATTAGATTAGTCGAGTCATTCATTTTGGAGTATATTGAGTAAAATACATTTTTGAATTAAAATTGAAGTATAATTACTTTTTATTTTAGTTAAGTCAAATCAAATTAGTTTTATTTATCGCTTAAATATACATGTGTTTTCATAATATTTATTTACTCTTTATTTTAGTTAAGTCAAATCAAATTATAGTTTATTTATCGCTTAAATATACATGTATTTTCATAATATTTATCAAATCATATGTTGATTTTTAAAGAATATTAGAAAATAAAGTGTAACTGGTAAATTTTTGAATGTTCATGAACATATATATTTTTATTATTTTGAAAATATATTTTATGTTATTTAAAAATATATATTAATGAGGGTATTACTATTTTGTGAACTTTCCTTCTTAATAAAGTCATAATACATACATATATTTTCGTTTTTAAATTTGTTTTAAAAATTTAGAAATATTTCCTTTTTATTATATATGTTATTTGGAAAAATGTAAAAAAAGAAACTAAATAAAAAAGTTAATAATAATTTTAAAATCAAATAATTCATTAAGGGTATCTATGTAATTAATCATCGCGAGAGTTAAGGTGAACGCGACACGTAGGAAACTGACTTCTCAAATAATATTATAGAGATTCGTTTCTTTATTATAAAGTCAAGTCAATTTTATATACTTTTTGTTGTCCTCTTCTTTTCTCTTTGTCAGTCTTTGCTTTGGAAAGCAAAAGCTTACTTGTACAAAATCGATCATCCTCTTCAATAATACGATGAGCATATGAGAAAAAGTCGAGTCACAGACCATCTCATCACCACGATGACTGAGATGATGAACAACACCACGGCGGAGGCAGAGTACACCAGGTGTAAAACATCGGTTTGGTGGGACATAGAGAACTGTGCTGTTCCCAAAGGTTGTGATGCTCATGGGATCACTCAGAAGTTAAGCACAGCGCTGGCTAATATGAATTATCTTGGTTCTCTTTCTATCTCTTCCTATGGCAACACAGATCTCATCCCTAAAGCTGTTCAACATGCTCTCTCCTCCACTGGAATCTCTCTTAACCATGTCCCTCCCGGTTAATTTTCTCATCTATATAATAAAAGTTAAATACAAACTTTGTACTTAAGAGTTTAGATTCAAGCAGCTGTGTTTTGTTTATTGCAAGGACTTGGATTTGGATATTTAGTAGGGTTGGTCATAATATCTGGATCCAAAAAAATCGAACCAAATCCGATCTAGAAAAAAATATTGAATCTGAAATAAATGGATAAAATATTCGAACCGGATGCAAAATTTTAATGTCTAAAATCTGAACATGACTAAACCGAACTATTTCGAATATGTGGAAATATCCAAATCACTATATTAATTATTTTTATATTTTATATCTATAAAATATTTAAATACATGAAATGTCCAAAAATAACTTTGAGTAACTATTTGAAAAAAGTAAAAAAAAAAAATTTAAACACAAGAAATATCTGAAATATTTACGTGTTGTCCAACCAAGTATCCAAAATAAACCAATTTTAGATATTTCAAATTTATATATTGTAACTTTTGATTTTGAAAATTCAAAATGTATATTTAGATTTTGAAACATTTACATGATGAAATGGGTATCCAAAACCGAAGCAAACCCGCAATGATCTAAACTCTACAAAAATTATAAATATTTGAATGAGGCTAAATATGTATCCGAAAAACCTGAACCAAACCCGAATGGCCACTGCTAAAGGATGGCTGTTGAGTCTCAAGTCTTTGTGTTCTTGAACAGGAAGGAAAGACGCGAGTGACAAGAAGATTCTAGTGGATATGTTTTTGTGGGTAGTGGAGAATCCTCCTCCGGCCAATATAATGCTTATCACCGGTGACATAGACTTCTCCCATGCCCTTCACCGGCTGAGAATGAGGAGATACAACATTCTTCTAGCACACCCTCAAAATATTTCACCTTCCTTGGTTGCTTCTGCTAAGACCTCATGGCTCTGGAGAAGCTTATTATTACCAAGTGGAACTTCCCTCACACAGTGTGAATCCTCACGGGTACTTGAGAGTTCTGAAATATCTAGTGAAGAGGTTTTTTCTACACAACCAATGGATTCAGGGTCTGGTTCTAGTAGGGCTGCGAGAAGTAGATTCAAAGGAATCTATGTCTCAAAAGCATCAAATTAGCTCTTGGCAAAGGAGGTAAGTTTTAATATTTAAAGTTAAGATTTCTAATTTTTTTATGAAAAAGAAATTCAGTTTCTTTGATTTTTTTTTTTATTTGACTTGACTTTGGAGGAGGCTCTAGTTGATGCTAAAAACTTTGAAGAAAGTGGTCAAAACAAAAACAAAGAGTCTTTGAAGTGCTTGGAGAAACAGAACAAGGAACTGATGGAGGAGACTATTACAACATCTGAAACAGTATCTACACAAAATGAGATTGTGATCGAGGAGTTACAAGGCATGCTCAAACAGGGCTTGCATATAAAGTCAGGTGAGCCAGAAAATGCACATGCAGGCCCTAGTGTGAATTTAGAGGAGGACATGAACAAGAAGAAGAAGAAAAATAGGCAAAAGAAAAAGAGTAGAGTGGTTGAAGATAAAGCTGAACCATATGTTTGTAGTATTTGCAGTGTCATTTGTGATAGTCCTGCCATATTCGAGTCGCATCTTAATGGCCGTAAGCATGCTGATATGATTGACAAGTACTCAGAGGTAATCTGTTTTTGAATCATCTCTATAGTCTCAATGTGAAAGTCAAAGGTTGATGATAACATTATTATTGAAACAGGCGCTGCTTGATGATAAGCAAATACAAGAGGATATTATTATTCAAGATAATGGTCACTCAATAGATGGAGAGGCACCTGAGAACATGGACTACTTTAATAAACATTCTCGAGCTTTTGAAGATGTAATAGAGAATGGTTACAAATCTATTCCAAATGAAGATAAAGCTGAACCTGAAGCATATGTGTGTAGTGTTTGCAGTGTGATCTGCGTTTGTCCAATTGTATTCGAGTCTCATCTGATGGGTCGAAGACACGCTTCAAGGGTAAAGAAACATGAAGAGGTAAGTTAAATAGTTTTGGTTTGATGCTTAAGGTAGATATGATATGAACGAGTCTCATTAATATATGTTGAGCACTGAGTACAGGTTCTGTTTGATGATAAGAAGATTCTAGAAGAAAGCCTTAAAGAAAAAGATCATCCAAGAAACAAACAAGAGAGTATCAAAGAAGTTAGTCAACGCAGTAAAGAAGGAGTAGAAAATGAGATTGAACAAGAACCCAAAAAAGCAAGGTAATGTAGTAACTTTTGGTCTTGTTTATTTAGTTTACTTGTTTCTGATAGTTTGTGGCTCTTCTCTTGTTTACGCAACAGAGAGAGACTTGACTCAGTGGTTAAGAGGTTTGAACTTTCACTAGAGGATACGTCTGAGCAGACGGTGGTTGAGGCTGGAAGCGCATCTGAGCTTGCGGAGGAGAGTGGAACTCAGATTAGGGTTTGCGATTGGTGCAGTGTGATGTGCACTTCCCAAATGGATTTTGATTCACATTTGACAGGTAAGAAGCATGCTGCCAGTGTGAAGAAGCAAGTTGCCGTGGTGAAGAAGCAAGCTGGGACCAAATTTGCTTTTGTTAGAAAGAATGGGCCTTAAGTGGGCCTTTTATTTTCCCGCCCTTAATAAACGGACGCATAAGATTATCCACTGTTATGGGTTTGACAAACAAAATACTGAGATTAATGTGTCTTAAGGATCATCATGATGGGCTTATTTAAATAAATGTATGTCTTTTTCAAATAAAAGATTTATGATCAAAATGTAAAATTCATCTCGAGTTGGATTCATATTTTTTTGTTTGTATGCGTTTGAATGAGTTAATGAGTTCGAGTCTTTTTGTGCCTTATGTCTAGAGTCTTAATGTGAATCTAATGTTGACGATGATAACATTATTATTGAAACAGGCTTTGCTTGATGATAAGCAGATACAAGATGATATTATTCATCTCAAGGCTGTTCATCATGATCCATGATGGGGCTTACTTAAGTAAATATATGTCTTTTTCAAATAAAAAACTTATGATCAAAATATTAAAATATATTGGATTCATCTTTTCTTGTATGCGTTTGAAAACTTGAAATCACATGCTGAAATATCATACCTACTTAAAAGTTTGGAAGAGATTCCACTTGTTAAAATAAAATAATGTGATGAACCGGGCTAATCACTAGGGCTGAGCATTTTATTTGTTAAATTTGATTAGATTCGTTATTCGTTTCGCTTCGATCCAAAAATTTCGAATATCCGTAAACTTTCGAATCAAAGCAAATACTAAAAATCAATATCCGCTAAAATTGAAGCAAATCATAAATATTAAAATTTTGGGAAGCGGAGATCCGATCCGATCCGGAAATATATAAATATATGTATATCTTGATTATATTTAAAATTTTAAATGTATAAAATTATATAATTATTATTCTATCATATGATTTTGAACAATTCTGTTCACATTATTACTTATATAAAAGTATTACATAAAAAGAGAGAAGCTAATTATAACAATTATATTTTTTTCTTAAATTTTGTGGTATTATAATTGTAACTTAAAATATAGAAAGTAGATTGAAGAAGAAGAACAGTACTATGCATATTGCATCGTTTATTCTATATTTTTCGATTATACAAATGGAATAGAAATTAAATTTCATGTTAATATAGTATGCCTAGGTTCTTTTCCATCTTCTATGGTGGTTTATTCTTATCATCCATTAACTCCAGCGACAACTTCACCAGCCACTCTACAAATCATTTCTCCTCAACTATTTTATGAATTCAGTTCTCATCCAAAAAAAAATGTGTAGTTTAATTGAGATAATAATATTCTGTTCTACGTGGGCATACATAGAATCGAATGTACATTAACAAATATCCCTCTATCTACCTCCTTTGTTCTTGTCTCTGTATTTCATCATTTTCTCCTTCTACTCTTCTTCTCTTCCAGCTTTTGTTTTTTCTCTCTCACTCTTCTTTTTATTCTTCTGTTCTTCTTCACCCATAAAGAGAAAGGATATAAAAAGAGAGGGTAATGGTGGAAGTGAAAAAGAAGAGGGATAGTGAGAAAAGTGAAGGTGTATTAAGAATAAAACTTTAGCAATTACGACATATTAAAATACTTTGCTCAAAAGGACGTTAACGATAACGAACAAATTTGCTCAAAAGTGAAGGTGTCATAAGCTCTAGATCTTTCTTACGCAAGTCTATATAAATAAACCTTACGTAATCATTTTCATTAAGCTGAATAACAAACAACATTCAAAGTTATCTTTCATCATTTCAATATCTGAAGGTTACTTTCATTTCTTCAGTACCGGTCCCTGGAGACATTGGTGGTTTAAGTAAGAGAATGGATAGCTTGAGTGTTGGCCCTCCCTCCTTTTATAAGAAACTTTGTTCTGTTCCAAAGCTTCGCAAGGTTCCCGTTGGATTGGATTTGCCATTGATAGAGCTTAAGAAGAGACTCATTGACAATAATACTGTGGTTAGTCTCGTGGTCTCTGCTCCTCCAGGGTGCGGAAAGACCACCCTCGTTACTCACTTTTGCCATGATTCTCAAGTCAAAAGTATGTATAAAAGTCTTAAAAACTTTCCCTCTTTAGGACTCTTCTTTTTTCTCATCTAGTTTTCATTATGCAGGCAAGTTCAAACATATCTTGTTTAATGTTGTCACAAGTACTCCTGACTTTAGGAGGATAGTAAAAACCTTACTCATGCACAACGGTTACACTCCACAAACATTTGAGAACGATACTCAAGCAAGCGTTGCCTTAAGAAATCTGCTGGTGGAACTGAGTGAAGATGGTCCTATATTGTTGGTTGTTGGATGATGTCTGGCATGGAGCTAATTCCTTCCTTGAGAAATTTCGTATTAGCATTCCGGATTATAAGATTTTGGTGACTTCTCGCTCTGAGTTTCAGAGCTTTGGTTCCACTTATTATGTGAAACCTTTGGAAGATGAAAATGCCAGAGCCCTTCTCATTCAATGGGCACCACAACCTTATAACGCCTCTCCAGCTGAGTACGAATATCTCCTCCAAATGGTATTCGTTTAATTTCTACCAACTTATATATTAGAAATCTAATTAATTACTTATGGCTTCACTTGTCTCGTTTGCAGATATTGAAACGTTGCAATGGATTCCCACTCGTAATTATAGGAATTGGCATTTCACTTAATGGAGTACCTCTACATATATGGAAAAAGGCTGTAGAAATCTGGTATCAAGTAGAAACAATTCTTGATTGTCCTCCTCAGCCTAGTGTGCTTCAATGTCTGCAGTCTAGCTTCGATGCCCTGGATCCTAATCTGAAGGAGTGTTTCTTAGACATGGGCTCATTTCTTGAGGACCAAAAGATACGTGCTTCTGTAATAATTGACATATGGATGGAACTATACGGTATTACTAGTATTATCTTGTGCAAGAAGTACCTTGAAAACCTCGCCTCCCAGAATCTACTTAAACTTGTTCCTCTCGGGTATGTTCTCTCTTCCATCTAATATTAGACGAACTTACTTATTTTTTATTGGTTTCATCTGCAGAAATGAGCACGAAGATGGTTTCTACTATGATTATTTAGTCACTCAGTATAGTATTCTTAGGGAGCTGGCTATCCATCAAAGCGGATTGGAATCATTCCCGGAAAGAAAAAGATTGAATTTGGAGATAAGAGAGGATACAAATCCTGACTGGTGTTTGAATCAAATGGAGCCTATTATGATCAAGGCCTCTATGTTGTCTATCTCTACAGGTAAATTCTTCAGAGTGGCTTATATAAATCTCTATGTTGTTTCTGTAAATATGACTAGATTCTGTGCGGGTGTTCAAAAAAATTATATTGTTAAAACAGTTTCATACATAATTGATTGTATATATTTTGATGCTTACGATATTTATATATATTTAATATAGTTTTATAGTCTATATGCATCAAATTAATTTACTCATTTCGTTTCAGTTTAGATGTCATTCTAGATTTTTGCACACATATTAAGAAAACATTTAATTTTACATATTTTCAAGATAAAAACACAATTACCTATACACCTAACCACTTTTCAACCAAAAGAAAAATAGAATATTATATAAAATTAATAAACTCTAAAATGACACTTAATTTGTGACAAAAAGTTAAGCCTAGAGTAACAAGTATTTTGAAAGGGTGAGAGTAATTGTTTTAAATTTTCATCTTTTCAGTTGTTTATATATATATATCTCTTTGTGGATTATAATTGATATGTATTATATATATATATATATATATATAACAATGAAGGTGAATATAATTTATTTTTTTGTTTATATATTATTTATTTTATTGTAATAATCTATTATTTATGTGAAATTTAAGTTTTAAGTATTTAATAATAAATAAATAGGTATTAGATGATCAATGCCTTTATGTTGTCTATCTCTACAAGTAAATTCTTCAGAGTGATTATATAAATCTCTCTGTTGTTTCTTTAAATATGATTATTACTAGATGATTTTCCCGTGCTCATGCACGGACATAAATATTTAAAATAAATATATTATAATAATTGATTGATATTTACTTCAAATTTAAAATTAATTTATAATTTTTAGATATAATTTCTATTAATAATATTATATTAATTTAATTATTATAATTTTAGATGTGTTATATTTCGTCAGTTTTATTGTTTTTACTGTTGATTTAGTTATCATTGAGATATATTAGATTCTATCTATTTCTCTGAATTCAACTATAATCTTTTTTATTCTAAATATATTAAATTTTTGATTAATTGTCTTATTTGCATTTATGCCGGTTGTTATCTTAGAAATATAAGTATATCCTGATTCTAAAATACATACTTAAGTAACTAATAAATTTTTGCAAGCTAATGAACACATATCAATATTTACAATATTTAGACTGATTAGATGATAAACTGAAATTTATTTTAAATNTTTGTTTAAGTATTTTGATTATGGTTATATTAAATTCCACAAACATAAAAACAGAAAATTAAAAATCAAAAGAGTTATTAAGAAAACATATAATTTTAACTATTAAAATATAATGTATCTACTTCGATAAATTATATAATGTTATGATATTTTAAGATAATTGTAGTTATTTGATCAAAAAATATTTATTATTAAAATTTATTTTTAGTTTTGTTTTTAATATCTTTTAAAATATGCAGTAAAAATGGTATTGTTTTTGAGAAATTATATTATATAAGTAAATAGAATTTATTTTTTTTTTTTGTAACTGTAAGATATTATAATCAAAAATATACTAAAATAAAAATATATATATTTCAAGAATACTAATTATATTTTTTTTGTCAATTAAACATATATCATTTTATGTTACTTAATTATTTTATGTAATCATCTAATAAAATAGATAGATACAAAAACAAATACTTTGAAAATCTATATATTTATTGTTTAAAACTATTATTTTTTTTAAAAAAATATCTCTTTTTCTAATATAAAGATTAGTTGTGTGAACTTTTTTTATGGAATCACATTATATACAAATATTGTTTTTCATCTAAGAAGATATAGTTATAAAGTATTTTATTACTTCAAAAATATATTTTATGTTATTTAAAATATATTTAAATAAAATATTACTATTTTGTGAACTTTCCATTTTTATGAAACCATATTTATATATACTTATATTTTTCGTTTTTAAAGAGTTTTGTAAACTTTATACATGTTTCTTTTTTATTTTATATTGTTATTTGGAAAAAAAAATAAAAGGAAATAATAATATTTAAATGTATTTTTTTAATTCATTAAGGGTATCATAGTAATCAACCAGCGTGAGAGTTAACGTGAGCGCGACACATAAGAAAGTGACTTCTCAAATAATATTATAGAGATGTTATTTTTTGGTTATTTCAGATGATTCGTTCTCATCGAATTGGGTTCAAATGGATTGTCCCAATGTTGAGGTTTTGATTCTTAATTACACTTCACGATACTTTGCTTTACCAAGATTCATCGCTGGAATGACGAAGCTAAAGGTTCTGATAGTCACAAATCACGGTACTTATCGAGAAAGATTGGGAAATTGCTCATGTCTCAGCTTATTACCAAACCTGAAACGTATTAGACTGAGCAATCAAGTGTGGTCAGCACCAGACATGCCCTTTGATACCTCTGAATCTGATCTCAAACAAGACTCTTTCCCTATGAATTCTCAGTGGAAGAAAGGGAAGCTTTTAGGTCGTGGTACATATGGAAGTGTTTACGTCGCCAGCAACATGTACTCTTTTATCTCTCTCTTTCCCAAAGGTGTTGGATGCTCCTTTTTAGAGCATCATTATTGAAGGTTTTTTAGGGTGTAGTTCTTATCAGAATATAAAAAAATATTTTTTAGCGTTGAACTGAGAAAACTAAGAAACGGTTCTTAAAAAACCAATTTCTTATATTCTGTAAAGAAACTCACCCAAAGAAACCTACAATAATGATATTCTTAATGCATTCTGAGTTTTTTTTCTTTTTTTTTTCTATTTGCAGTGAAACTGGAGCCTTGTGTGCGATGAAGGTAGTTGAAATATATCCTGATGACCTCAAATCTGCAGAGTGTGTAAAGCAATTAGAGCAGGCAAGCTCCACGATAGATTATACTTTTAGCGAGTTTTTGGTTATTTCATACGTAACTTGTTTTTTTTTTTTTCAGGAAATCAAACTTCTCAGTAACCTTTTACATCCAAACATTGTGCAGTATTTTGGTAGTGAGACAGTGAGTATATATCCTCTCTTTACATGCAGATAATCTAACTATGGAATTTAATCTGGCTAATTGGAATATGTTTTGTATGTAAAAGGTAGAAGATCGTTTCTTTATATACCTGGAATATGTTCACCCGGGTTCAATCAACAAATATATCCAAGACCATTGCGGCGGTACCATGACAGAATCTGTTGTTCGTAATTTTACTCGTCATATTGTGTCCGGTCTGGCTTATTTGCACAGCAAAAAGACTGTACATAGGTAGGAATGTTTACCGTAATCAATTTTGGTGAATATATCTATCTTATTAAAAGTATCTTTTAAAAATAACATTGGTTTTATCTGGGATAGTACAAAATATGCCATTAAAATTTTATCAGTTCTGTATTATTTCATTAAAGTTATTTTCGTTATTAAATGTTACACCAGGAGAAATCTGAACAGATAAATAAAATTAAAAACTAGATTATTAAGATGATTGAAAATAGTTTATTTGATAAATTAAATAATAACTAAAATTTAATGGTATTTTGTCATATATTTTTTTTATTATCTCCAATGATTTCTCTGATCACTTTTACTTTATTTCTTAATATATTAATTTCTCAACTTCTTATTTATTGTTAATAACACTTTTTATTTTTGGATTTAAAATTATGTTTGACTATTTTGAAATTTTGAATTTTAAACTCAAATCTAACTTTACTAAAATGCACTATCTGTTCACATACAATACAATAGCAGTTTTGAAAAATAATACTATTATCATATTTTTCCACAAATAATCAATCAAAACATGTAATGTTCATCAGGGATATCAAAGGTGCTAATCTCCTTGTCGACGCCTCTGGTGTTGTCAAGCTTGCTGACTTCGGCGTGGCTAAACATGTGCGTTATGTATTCTGTCTAAGTATTCAAATGTTGACTAAACAAGTGATCGAGTCTCTTCGTTTCTTGATGTTGCTATTTTCTTCTTCAGCTTACTGGACAAAGAGCTGATCTCTCTTCACAGGGAAGCCCATACTGGATGGCACCGGAGGTAGTCTTTGTTCTGTGATTGTTGAAATTCACTAAACAATAAAAACCTTACTTATGTAGATATACTTATAAATATTCTCTTAAATTTGATAAAAAGAAAAATTTCTCTTTAACTCCACAGCTCATAGAACCCAACATGCAAAGAGATAACAAGCTAGATCTCGCTTTTGCTGTTGATATATGGAGTTTAGGATGTACGATCATTGAGATGTTCACTGGGAAGCATCCGTGGAGTGAGTTGGAATGGGTAAGCATACAAAAATGTGCCTCAGCAGTCAGTGTTACACTAAAAGATAGATTTCTCTTTGATATCTAAAACTATTTGCGTTATCATAGTTTGCAGCTATGTACAAGGTCATGAAAGAGAGCCCACCGGTACCTGACTCGATGTCACCAGAGGGTAAAGACTTTCTAAGTTTATGTTTCCAAAGAAACCCGGAAGATCGTCCAACCGCTTCTAAGTTGCTTGAACACCAGTTCCTGAAGAACTCTGTGCAACCAACTTCATCACGCAACAGCCATGTCTCAAACTGATCACATCTGTACCTTTTGTCCTCCTTAAAAACAAAAAAAAATTATCTTTGTACATCTCTTACCTCTACTTTAATTTTTTTTTTCACTTTACCATCCGTTACACCGTTGTAATATTTTTGTTAACTTGACTTGAAGAAGTACATTGAAGTGTGTTATACTTATACCGTTTGTAATATTTTTGTTAGAAGACATCATCAAACTTTTCTCTTCCTGTGTTTAATACACTACAAATGTAAAATAGGCCATTCAAAACCAGCCATACTCTCTTGACCAGAAATAACTAAACCCATTAACCTCAGGGATACTTGCCGGTTCTGAAATAAGTAGTGAAGATGTTGCTGAATATGTTTTGTCAACACAACCGCGTGGATTTAGGGTCTGGTTCTAGTATGGCTGCGCGAAGTAAACTCTAAGGAATATATGTCCCAAAAGCAAATAGAAAGAAGCCTCAGATGAAATGTAGCCTCAGCTCTTGTCCAAATGAAATCCCATACTGAAATATCAAACCTACTAGAAAGTCTGGAAGAGATTCCACTTGTTTTAAATAAAATAATGTGATGAATCGGACTAATCACACACATGCATAGATATATTGTTTAAACTATATCATGTTGTTTGACAAATTCAACAAAGGTTGTTTTTGGATGACAAGTTGATACCTAACTTATCCCCAAACGTCAAAAATGGGAAATAGACTGGAAAAAATAAAAAAAAAAAGTAAGAAATAAAAAAATATCATGTTCTCACTAAGAAAAAGAAAGTTTTATAAATTTTCTGCTACATAAAAATAATTATTATCATTATTATTCAAAATGTAATTTTTTTTTTTTTAGAAACTAGCATATTTTTTTTACAACGGAGTTTTTAATTTGTTACAAGAAAATAAAAGAGAGAGTGAAATATATGAATCGTATAGAATTGAAATTAATAATTTTTTTTATTTAATTTAAATCTTATATTATATCCACGTTTATTTGTTACAAGAAATAAAAAAGATAGTGAAATATATGAATCGCATTGAAATTAATATTTTTGTTTTATTTAATTTACATCTTATATAATATCCACCTTTATTTGCTACAAGATAGTATATTGTATAATATTTCGGCAAGACAAAACCCAAAGACTTTTAAATTCAAAACCTTCTTTCTAGGGTCGTTCCGAGTCGTTTCCCTTCTTTCTACGCATTGTTTTGGTCCTTCTTTAACCTTATCTCCTTCGTTCTCCTCTCCTCTACTTCTTCGCTCATCCAGGTAACCATGATCTTTGCTCTCTCTCTCTCTCGCTGAAACTGTTATGTTCTGTTCCTCTTTGTTATTTTTTTCCTCTTTATGTGTTTATGCACCATCTGCTCCGTTTTCATATACTTCGTTGCAATAAGAACAAGAGCTATCATATGGATCTTACTTTTATATATATTTTCTTTTTATATTCTTTGTTACCGTAACTTGTATGTTTTGTCTTCAGTTTAATGAACTTCAAAGCTTTAGTATCATCGTATAACCTGTCCTTTTAGCTTTTCTTCTGTTGTTTAGCTTCAAAGTTAGAATCTAAAGCATCAATGATCATTGTTTGGTTTCTGCAGGAAAGTTTATTACATACCAATCCAAGTGTTTGTTTGTCTACAACTTGTTAAAGAGACAATGTTTGGTTCCAAGAAATCACCAACCAACCTTCCCAAACACAACTCTGCTGATCCTGAATTCCACAAACCAAACCCTTTTGATTCAGATGAAGAATCTGACAACAAACAAACCAACACCCTTAACCCCTCCCAGAGAACTTCCTCTGAACCTTCTTTAGCTATCATGACCAACCCTTTTGATGAGGCTGAGAAAGAGTACAGTAGTTCTAACTCTAGATACCAGTACAAGAACAATTTTCAAGATTCAGGAGGTGTTGAGAACCAGTCTGTTCAAGAGCTTGAAGGTTATGCTGTGTACAAGGCTGAAGAGACAACAAAATCTGTACAGGGTTGTCTGAAAGTAGCTGAAGAGATAAGGTCGGATGCTACTAGGACTTTGGTCATGTTACATGACCAGGGTGAGCAAATCACTAGGACACATCATAAAGCTGTTGAAATTGATCATGATCTCACTAGAGTAAATCTTTATCTCTCTCTCTCTTTTTTTGTTGGTTTATTGAGTGAGATGCTTAATTATGTGGCTTTGATTTTGCAGGGTGAGAAGCTGCTTGGAAGCCTTGGAGGTATGTTTTCAAAGACTTGGAAACCGAAGAAGACTCGTCCTATTAATGGTCCTGTCATAACTAGAGGTTTTGCTTCTTGGTCTTTGCCATAGCTATTTTACCTTCTTTTTTTTTTACTAATTGCGTGGTTCACATTGTGTTTTGTGTGTTAAGATCACTCACCAACGAGAAGAGTTAACCACTTAGAGAAAAGGGAAAAACTAGGACTAATCCCAGCACCAAAAGCACAATCAAGAACCAGAGAACCTCTTCCTGAATCAGCTGATGCATATCAGAGAGTAGAGGTTAGCACTTATCTTCCCTCTTTTGCTTGAAACATAACATATGAGATGAAGGGTCGGTCTAGAGATTTTGAGGCTATAAACAATTTAGTAAGGATTTTTATAAAGTCTTTTTTATAAACAATAAAACTTTCTTAAAATTCTGGAGACCATAGATCAATGCTTCACTAGCCTATGTTCAAGACTGGCCCTGGATGAATGTTGCATGAACGTGATGCAAATGCACAAAGATCCAAACCTGAAACATTGATAGAAAGCTAGCTTCTCTAACATTTGAGACATTTATACTTTTACTACAGATGGAAAAAGCTAAGCAAGACGATGGACTTTCAGATTTGAGTGATCTACTTGGGGAGCTAAAGAACATGGCAGTTGACATGGGAAGTGAAATTGGAAGGCAGAAAGGTGATCTTGATCATCTTCATGATGATGTTGACGAACTCAATTACAGAGTGCAACAATCAAACCAACGTGCCAACCGTTTGCTCAGGAAGTAGATGAACAGAGTTTTATATTCATATACACTACTTCCTCTAGTGTTTGATCTTCCATGAACTAGTTGCTTTTATATACGTTTCTGTCTATGTTTATATTTTATATTGATTATGAAAGAACAAAAAACCTTAAATTCTGACAAGCATCAGTACTAAACCATCTCTTTTTATATAAAACATAGAATTAACACAACACAACTGAATATAACATAATAAATCTCGCACTTTAAAAAGCGCATGTCAAAATCTAGTCACACTCTTAAGAATACTTGTTTTATTGGTTATCTCTTCAAGAGTCTTTCTTACAAAATAGTAATAAAAGACTCAACAACAAGTGTGGAAAGGGAGAGGCAACAGAAAATAACAAACAATGTCTTCTTCTCTTCTTGTTTCTACTACTAACAAGAATATTCCAATCCAAAAGAAAAAAGTGATCAAGCCTTAGATGTCATGATCTCAATAACAGCTGTCCATGTCCCAGTCACAGCAATCATAACACCAATGAGGAAAATAACAACATCCACCACCTTGCTTGCAAGGCTCAACTCCTCTTTAAAAGCCTGTAAATGAAAGAGCGATGGCAAAACAAATCCCAACACCACACAGACACTGCTCCCAACAAGAGACAAGAAGTCTGCAAAGTTAGGGACNTGATCTCAATAACAGCTGTCCATGTCCCAGTCACAGCAATCATAACACCAATGAGGAAAATAACAACATCCACCACCTTGCTTGCAAGGCTCAACTCCTCTTTAAAAGCCTGTAAATGAAAGAGCGATGGCAAAACAAATCCCAACACCACACAGACACTGCTCCCAACAAGAGACAAGAAGTCTGCAAAGTTAGGGACAAGCAGGGCAACGAGAGTGACCACCAGAACAGTGGACCAACGCACCCATATGGAGTAACTAGAGCTGCAGAGACGACGCTCTATGACCTCATAGACAGGATGCATCATGAGAGGAAATGTGAAGAAAAGGTTGATTGCTAAACCTAGCTGAACAAGAGTGCTCACCAAACCTGTCCCTAAGTTTGTGGTGATGATGTCTTTAGTCTCATCTCCATAAGCCATGTACCCTAGCAACCCAAACGCTCCGTACATGATTGAGATTAATCCCATGGCTAGCCCCAATGCTCTACCAAACTTGTCTTTGTATTTAGCTTCAAGTTCCAAAGGAAGTACCTGTTTCACAAAACAAAGACATATGTTTCAACACACAACACATAGTCACAAGGCCGGTCCGGTGCATAGGCAAGTGAAACATTAGCCTATAGAACACAAAATTTTCAAAGAAAACTACATAGACATAAACTTCAACATTTATTAATATTTTTTTATTGAAACCTCTACTAAATCGCTGCCTACAACCCCAAAATCTCAGAACCGGCCTGGTCCGGTGCATAGTCAAGTGGAACATTAGCCTATAGGACCCTAAATTTTCGAAGAAAACTACATAGACATAAACTACGAAATTTTTACAAGAAACCTTTACTAAATCGCCTACAACCCTCCCCACCTCCAAAATCTCAGAACCGGCCCCGTCCGGTGCATAATCAAGTGGAACATTAGTCTATAAGACCCAAAATTTTCGAAGAAAACTACATAGAGAACATTAGCCTATAAGACCCAAAATTTTTGAAGAAAACTACATAGACATAAACTTCAAATTTAAACAAGAAACCTTTACTAAATCACCTACAACTCTTCCCACCCCTAAAATCTCAGAACCGGCCCAGCCTTAAGACATGAGATATGTAAATAGAGAGGAAAGTGATTATCTTTACCATTCCAATCCCTTCAAACGCATACACAGCAACTCCCAACCCATAAAAGAACACAGAGAACCCTCCAAAGACTCTCAAAGGAGGTCTGTTTTTAACAAAAATAAACACATCCTGAACCATAACCACCAAAGTAGCCGCAACATCAACAACATCAGCGAATATACTCAGAGGAGCCAAATGGGTCAACGTGGGAATCGAGTTAAGCCCCAGCTGAAAAGGGAAACACCCCCACATATAAACAGAACTCGGATCAAGCCCCAAGATATGTTCTGTACTATGACTAAGCAAATTAGCCATCGTGGTCGCCACAAATATCAAGTAACTAACACAAAACCCGGCTTGAGACAACACAAGCATCACATCAACGATGAGACGACCAAAGGGTCCACACACAGATTCACCGAGATCTCCAAAGGAAGTGATGCTGGAGAAACCTGACATGGACTCGAGCTTGCGTCGTGTCCTGACGAGGAGCATCATACAGAAGAAAGTGAGGGATGCTACAAAGAAGAGTGTTAAGAGACCTAAGAGCCATCCTGTTTTCTTGAACGTGTAAGGGAGGCCAAGGACACCTGCGCCCACGATGGCGATGAAGACGTTTGCGAATGTTTTGGGCTGTGAGGAGAGAGTTCTTGGGCCGAGGAGTGGTGTGTCTTCTCTAGGGATGTATAAGGAGTTTGAGGAGGAGCGGAGGGAAGGTAAGGAGTGGGAGGACGATCCTGAATCTTGATCGTACTCCATGCCCATTAGGACAAGAGATGATACTAAAGAGACAAGAAGAGGACGAAGATCTGTTTCAGATGTGTGTTTGAGGCTATGGTTTGTAGTTGGGGATGATAAAGGTTGATACTTTTAATGTGATTTACCTTTTATTACCACATCTCAGGAGTCTTCTTGTTAATTTTGAGAGTACAAAAAAGGTTTTGTTTTTCTGACTATAAAACGACAAAGTTTTTGTTTTTTTTGGACTTGTGGTGAACCGACACATGTTACTTAGTTTAACCATAGAGTTGGTGTAATGAGCTGTTTGATGGATTTTAAATTATTTGGAAGAGAATGACGTCAAAAACAAATTAATAGTTGAAAAAGGATTTTTTTTAAATAAGAGATGGGGTGAGGAGGGGAGGACAAGTGTGTAGAGAGATTGAGAAGATTCAGAACTGATTGAAGAGGTGTCAACCAGTAAGAGGAAAGATACGTGGAAGTTGCAGACGGCGCACGTTTCTTTTTCTTTATTTTTCTTGATTTCTCCGACCAACTTCTACACGCTTCTCCTCTCTTTTGGGCTCTCTCTGTCTCTGTTTGGGCCATGTGAGTAGTTCAGGAAGAGAAAGTGTACTTGAGCTCTCTTTATCTTTGTGCTTTAATGATCAAGACTCTGTGCACTATAACTGCTTTTGTTGGATCAATTAATCAAGCCATTTGGGCTTCATATCTAATTGAAAAATTGTGAAAAGAAATGGCCCATTCAAGAGGCCTGTTTGTGTAATGAAATGAGTCATTAGTTTCTCCCACATCGGGGAAATGAAGTAGAGTTGAGTTGTATATATATGCACTCTCACTCTCACTTAATTAAAGAACTCAGAGGAAGAAAGA